TATTCCAACAAGATTCGGCGCCAGCTCATAGAGCGAAGAGCACACAAGACTGGCTGGCGGCGCGTGAAATCGACTTCATCCGGCACGAAGACTGGCCCTCCTCCAGTCCAGATTTGAATCCGTTAGATTACAAGATATGGCAACACTTGGAGGAAAAGGCGTGCTCAAAGCCTCATCCCAATTTGGAGTCACTCAAGACATCCTTGATTAAGGCAGCCGCCGATATTGACATGGACCTCGTTCGTGCTGCGATAGATGACTGGCCGCGCAGATTGAAGGCCTGTATTCAAAATCACGGAGGTCATTTTGAATAAACTTTAGTGTCATAAGAATCTATGTTTTGTTAAGTTCATTTTGGTATATGAATGGTTGCATAATGAATAAACTTGTTTCAATTAATTTACATTAAACATGTGACAGAAATTATGACCTGACTAGGTACAGTTAGTACGAAAGTAAAGACAAATACATAATACCAAGCGGATATTTTATCTGGTGTATAGATATCGAGTGTTGAATTTGCTGTGATCTTCTTGAAGATTCTATGATCTATTAAACAGGGGTCGATGAAGTTATCACCAGTTTAATAAGTGAATACACACTTAAGATCTAAATTTAACTCGTTTACCTCGAAAATAACCGGTTTTAGCGCTGCAAATCAACTCCGAGAATTTTTTCGAAGGTCATGTTAAGGTCAAGAATTTCCGCGAAGAAAAAGCTTCTTCAAAATCGACATGGAAATTGAATTTATTTCAATATGCATTGTATATCAAAAAATATCAATCACTGCTCATCTAGTGGTTATCCCGTATACTCGATAAAACCAATGAGACGGCCATGTCTGCTGTCAACTGTTAATAATCTACCAGTTACACATTTCAGGATTGCGTTTAGTACTTAAACACGTCCCTGCCTATTCTTACAGTAATGTTTTTCGCTTTGTACGCGGTTGATAGGCTATTTTACGCGTTGGAAGATTTCTTTTGACGAACTATGGGTCCTATCATGTGCTTCAATTTGAAGTGGGGAATGGCCGTGTAAACTTAAGACGCACACCATCTGAAGATGGGTAGCGGCATTTAGATTGTAATATCTATGAATTCCGGTAGCTATTTGACATTTGCGCGACAGTTGGCCCGTTAGCTCATTCACCCACACCCACCCACATTCTATGCAATTAATAAAAGGATCATTAAAGGTATATTTTATAACTAGACTAGCTGACCCGGTAGACTTCGTAGTGCCTCAATCGATAAATAAAAGACACATCAAGGGGACACATCAAAGGAAAAACAGAATTGTTTGTTTTTATATAATTCCGAGCTTTTTTTATATTTTATCACCTTTTAAACCTTCCCTGGACTTCCACGAATAATTCAAGACCAAAATTAGCCAAATCAGTCCAGCCGTTCTCGAGTTTTAGCGACACTAACGAACAGCAATTCATTTATATATTATATATAGATCTAAAGACTAAGTACCACAGGCAGTAGTTAATGCATCCTGTATTAATAAGAAAATAAAACCACTACAACATATTAGAGATTGTATTTGTTGCCAGTCCATTTGAAATTATAAAATTTAGTTTATATTTACAAATATAACCGATGAATTACTTAATAATGTTCTATAATTAAAAAAGTCAATATACCTATGAACATTCCACGATCGGTCAAACCTAAATAAATAAAAAATGTAGATATTTTATTTTCAAGAAATTCTGTTCTTTTGTGTAACAATAGTAAACGTTGTTTTTTTGTTTTTTGAATATTGTATTTGCTTAAAATTATTTATTTGTACCGAGCATGAGTTGAAAAATCTTTGTTCTTTGGTTTTCGGGTTTTATTTTTACATAGATATTTTAATAAGAATCTTTAATCAAATTCGAAAAATGAATTAATATTTAATAATTTAAAATTCAACATTACGTTTATTAAATTTATTTTCATTACAATTGTTATGAGCAGAGTTGGCAGCTCTATAATATGTATAGTTGTACCTTAAAGAAATAAACTTTGAATATCACAATGCTTTATAATAGCAGGTTCTGACAAAAAGAGCCTTGGTGTACCAAACGAAAAACAAACTATGTTGTCAATTGTGTTAAGTGGTTACCGGAGCCCATAGACATCGACTTCACCACTCACCATCAGCTGGATCGTATCTTCGTCTGATAACACGGGCCATTAAAAAACGTTACAATGTAAATGCCGCCACGCGACGCCACGGCTTGCAGCTTATATCTCAATTATATGGTAATTTAGGAAATTATAATTTCTCATCTTGGAATTCATTCGTAAACATTCTTACTGGTAGTAGGACCTCTTCTGAGTCCACGCGGGTAGGTACCACCGCCCTGCCTATTTCTGCCGTGAAGCAGTAATGCGTTTCGGTCTGAAGGGTAGGGCAGCCGTTGTAACCATACTGAGATCTTAGAACTTATATCTCAAGGTGGGTGGCGCATTTAAGTTGTAGATGTCTATGGGCTCCAGTAACCAATTAACACCAGGTGGGCTGTGAGATCGTCCACCCGTTTTTTTTTTTTTTTTTTTATGATTGTAAGTTTACTGGTGGCCCGAAGGCCTTGCCAGTTTCACCAGGACAGGTGGGCGAGCAAAGGCTCAGCCAAGAGGGGTGGGATTTGCTAACAACTGCCCGAGCGCCTCCGAAGGAGACCTAACAACTCAAGAGCAATTGTTTCGCGAATGAATCTACTACCGGATCGGAATCGCGACCCNCGCAGAGGGCCGTGGCGTGATCGCCCAAACACTTAACACATCGGGGGCGCGCGTGACAGTTACGGGAAGAGTGCCCGTACAATTGACAGTTATGGCACTGGCTAGGAGTGCCTTTTTTATGGGGGGCTTCGACAGCGATACCAGAGAGCCTACAGACGGTCTGTGTGTTAAAGATTTTCTTACCCTCGGGGGTAGGCTGGAGAGCGACTAGAACCATATTATATGGCTCCCTACCGCGACCGGTGTGCATACGGTGCACAGAATTCACTGGTAGGCCTTGTTCTAACAGGTCGGCTTTTACGAGCTCTACATCTAACTCTTTAGGGATTCCGCGTATTACAACGCGGAGTTCGCGCTCCGTCCACCCGTCTAAGCTATAAAACAATATATATGTCAAGTATTTATTTCATTTGAAATTTTTCTAACTGCTTGCGAGATACGAACACCGTCACCACCAGACGATCGATACGAATGCGCCGGGCGCCTTAACCTCCAGGCCACGACAACATCTTTATTTTTCGAATTTGATTCAAAGTAGTTATAGATCAATTTTGCTGTAATGCTTTGGGTTTGTAGTTTATTATACTATAATAAAATAAGTAAAGTTTAACGAAGCTCCAGCGACATTTCTATAAACCCTGACCCGCAAATATCTCTCTAAAAATTTATCTAAACATAATAATTATATTACAATTCATTTACCACACTTATACTCTATGTCAAAAACAAACAGCCAACTATCTAAAACAAAAAGTCAATGAATAACCAACAAATGTAATTTTCATCTTCTGCAATAATTCTATTATCATTTACAAAAATCTATCGGAGTTCAAATGTTTTAATTTTTAAACTCTTACGGCACTTGACTAATGTAGTAATGAATTTATATGATACGATATGACTTAAAAATCCAGAATGATTCACCAAACTATGTCAAATCTGCTGTAAAGACAAATTAATATAAAATACGCTAAGTATGTATAAACACTGCTACTAATTATCCATACGTAGCGGTTTCAATATCAAAACAAAAATTGAAGTAATCTTCTTTTTTTTCTCTCTTCCTATTCGTTGGTAGTCCAGGTGCTATTCCTCCTACGCGCGGACGGGAGTAATCCTCAATTTTCATTATAATTATCAAAATATATCAGTAATCTATAATCTGAGTGATATTGATGATGTTTTATTATTATATAAACCTAAATATGTGATGAAAAATAAGATCTTGTAACATTATTTGGTATACAATAGTACTATTGAGTATCTTTATTAACTGGCGTTATTCAGTTGACTTACAAAAACGTCCTTTAAAAAAAAACTTTACCCTGTAAAGCATTTTTGCTAAAACTTAATTAATTTGTTCATTTATCACATCACCATTTACTCTTCAGTCTAATTTTGAGGATCACGAAAGAAGTCGCAATCAATGCGAAACTTATAGCGAAAAGTGCTCCAATCGCTAATGTAAATTCTTCTTTGTCCATGTGGTTGTCTATTAATAACTGCGTAGGGTAAGTGTAGTAACAGAATATTTTTGGGCAGCTGAAGTTAGACCGGCCCATACCGAAGACGGAGAGCACGAGTCCAACGAGTCCGTGTTTCAAGAATGATATTTGAAACATCCAGCGGAAGAAATACGGCGCATCGCGGTAACGCAAGAAGAACCCGGAGAATATAGTGAACGGCATAATCATTAGCGGACCAAATATAACTCCATTCTGAAATGAAAGAGAAATTATATTTTTAGTGTCGGAGTTTTGATTGATGTCGATGAAGAAATCTCTCGTGAAGACACTGGACGGAGGACACTTTTGATTTTTTTTTAGCTTTTATTTTTATTTTTTTCCTACCTAAGCTGAGAGCCTTGAGAGGCTATATCAGCGTAGCCTTAACTGGTAGGTGAACTCACGGAGCTCAAACCTGATGACGTTGCTAACACGAATCCTAGCAAGAGCCGTGCTTCGCAGAATCTACCACCGGATCGGAAACACGACCCACTGAGAAGTTCCGGCGAGAAACTCAGTGGGCTAACTTTTGATAAGGAATGTGCCAAAGCAATGAAATTTCTTACGTCGATTTTTTTTAGGTACTCTATATTTTTTTACATATTACATGTAAAAAAAAAACCGAGGGGTGAAAGGCTATTTCGAGTTAACCGAGTTAGCCGATATTCGGTTTAAGCGAATTTTTTTGAATTTTACAGCATAGCTATTTAAAGTTTAAAATTTGGAAAAAAAATATCATAACGAAAATACTTCTTCAGCTAATTGAATGGGGTAAGCATAATTGAAGTTCAATTAAAACATCGAATTATTGATGGTCATACCAAATAAAACGGACTTCTAATTATAAAGATAAATGTCGCGTATGAAGCGAAATGTCGCATCAACCCGCGATATATAAAATAATATATGACAGACATTGTGATTAAAACTAGTAGTGGTTTACGCTGGTTGTATAAAATTTAAAAAGAATGCGACCCCGCGATTAGAAATTTTCTTTTAATTTGTTAACCAAATAAAAATAAAGATATACGGTCCAAATTGAGAGTCTCTCTGTATGAAGTTTTGAAGTTCGATTAATGAAGTTTAATTGAATACAATATCAAACCAATATAACAACGGAAAGCACTGAAATTGGTATGTGTATTTCATTTGACTTATTTATTAGCTCATTGTTTCGTCACAATAAATTGTTATTAATAAGCCAATTTTGAACATCGATTCCGATTATGCTTACCGAAAAACAAATGCGATCTCATCGAAACTGAACATATTGAAATTCAACTCTAGAAATAGATAAAATGGTAAAATTTTTACTGGCGGTAGGACCTCTTGTGAGTCCGCACGGGTAGGTACCACCGCCCCGCCTATTTCTGCTGTGAAGCAGAAATGCGTTTCGGTTTGAAGGGTGGGGCAGCCGCTGTAACTATACTGAGATCTTATAACTCATATCTCAAGGTGTGTGGCGTATTTACGTTGTAGATGTCTATGGGTTCCAGTAACCACGTAACACCAGATGGGCTGTGAGCTCGTCCACAAATCAAGGCAATAAAAAAAATAAAAAAAATAATTAAATTTTGTTTGCGGGCTTTGACCGAATCAAACATGTTTATATGCAACAAACAAACGTTGCAAGTTAAAATAAAACATATAAAATATCCTAAATACTCATTCTACGCACTTAATGATACAAATAAAATAAAAAATACATTGACAAACCTTTACGTTAAATATTGATCCATTAAGGAGACCCATACATAGTGATACGTATGAGACTAACAGCAAAGTGAAAATGAATATTGTAAATCGAATTAAATTCGGTGATTGTCCTGTCATCCAATATACGAGAATCGAGTATAGAAGGGTGCACACGGTCTGTATAGGTAGCGTAGAGAGTAAAGTTGACGCGTAGAAAGCGCCTGTAGTATACCAACGGTTGAAATGTTCTCTTCGGGTAACGGGGATTTGTTCCGGAACTGAAAAAAGTTAGGAGTATTAAAAAAAATGGTTCCAAATTTAAAATAATAATTATTTATCGAGAACTAGATTTTAGTTACTTGAAAAGGATTCTTAAAAGAAAAAATAAACAGATCGAAAATTGACTGAGTTGTGTCTAGAATAGCATTGCTAAATTTATTATTTACTGGCAACCCGACCTCGCTTCGCTTCGGAAACATTAAATTTTATTATTGATAGTTGAGCCCCGCCATGTTACCCGTGGTTATTGTCGTACCGCTGGTGACGCCGCGGGGCGAAGTTAGTCTAAATAAAGTAGTCTAAGTTACTCCTTATATCATCAGCTACCTGATAGTAAAAGTCTCGTCAAAATCGTTCCAGCCGTTCCAGAGATTAGCCGGAACAAACAGACAGACAAAAATTGTAAAAAATGTTATTTTTGTGTATATACTTAAGTATATTCATTTTTTTTATTTTTTATTGCTTAGATGTGTGGACGAGCTCACAGCCCACCTGGTGTTAAGTGGTTACTGGAGCCCATAGACATCTACAACGTAAATGCGCCACCCACCTTGTATATGCACCATATGCATGTATTATAGTAAAAAGCGGTTATTTTAATAGTAAAAACAGACAGTCCAATTTTATTTTTATTTATAGATTACTGTTCCATTTCTTTTCAACCTTATCGTAAAAAGCGATACACTAGAGATCGCGTAGCAGCGTTCTTAGTATTACACTAGCATAATTGGTACCTATTTATTGGTAGTAGCGCGTATTGCGAGCCTTAATGGTCACAGCGATTTTGTGTATTTCTACTACGAAGCAATAATGTTCCAGTTTAAAGACCAGGTCCCAGATTAGCAGGCCTGAGCCTTTTTGTACTTGTTTGGACAGCGGTTATGTATTTGCAATGCAATTGAGATTTCGTCGTCATCTACGTCGGGGCTCCAGATGTAGTAATAAAAGAGCTTCTTCATATCAAATGGACATAGCTTATGATAGTTTATTTGGTGTTGTGAGTTCCGAAATCCTATACAAACAATACAATAATCGTCTGACAGCCTATATCCCAAATATCTAAAATACAAAGAATCTAACATGCATTGATTCTTTCAATATTTCCTTTGACTGGGTTGGAATCTTTGCGGGTTCTTTTGACCTGCTGAGGAAATCAATTATTGTTCAATCAGATTTTAATTTTATTTTCTTTACCTCATTGTAAATATTCAGTAATAGAATAGTATCAAAATAGATCCGTTGGGTTGTTTGTATAGCAACATTTATGTACTTACATCTGATTGAGACGGCACTAAATGCGTTGAACATAAGGAACATCAGACTGAAGTACAGAAAGTTGTAATTATCTCTGACTTTTTCGACGTCTTCGCCAACATTCTTGAATAGGATGCCAATAAACAATGCCATGAATCCGTGAATGCTTATGAATGTTAACGTAAATGAAGGTTCTCGCCACGTACTCTGAAAATATTAGACAGTAAATAATTTTAATAGTTTTTTGGGATTTTAAGATGAAACCTTTTCGCTAGTTTGGAATGAATTTTTGAAAGAATATAGTTGTTTAAGTAACTAATTCCTTTTAAAAAATTTATATTGAGATTAACAATGATCGTAGCAAAAGAGAAAGGGCAATATACTTCGTTATTTGGTAGGTTTTCAGTATCAGTGTTAAACTTACAATGAAATCAGGCTAGAGAAGTTCAACTAGGAATCTTTATTTTTTTGTGGAGAAATGGAACTTAACGGCTATAGTTTGTCGTAAACTTTTTTAACATTTTTCATTTTTTCATTTTCCTTCTCATATATTTTTAATATGAGTTGACAAAAATTGGTGTAGTATGGTTTTCTTGGATAATCATTTTTGTGTGAAGAAGTGATGACGATTTTACCATCGCTTTAGTTTTTAGCATCAGCCTTTTCATCTAGCCTTTCATATTATATAGTGGGAAAGGAATTTATTCAATATATAGCATGATAACTCACTAATACAGATCTTCTTGTCAATGTGATGAATTGTTTCCAAAACGAGGTAGAGTATGTGCTTTTCAGAGCCAAAATAATTTTATTTGTCGAATTCTCTTTGGGAGCTGTTAATAGTGTTAAACTAATTTCCTCATTTGTTGAAGTAATTCTAAGTAGTTTCGGTCTTTCTGAAAAAAATAAACTTAGCTTGAATTTCTTTCTGACTTTTTTTTCTTGTCGATAACCAAAATGTCAATAAGAGATATTTTGTATTGTCCTTTGATTCCCTTGATTTTTCAAGTTAAAACATCAACGTATGTTTACTCATATATAATATTTAGTAACGTAATTTTATCTCATCGTAATTCACACATTCTAGTCAAGGAATATCTTTGGAAAAAAGTTCTTAACTTCTTGTTTATACATAAATAAGTTATTCAGATATTAATTGCGAATAAATAATTTTGTTTGCCCTTAGTTTTGTTTGAATAAAATGAAAAATAAGTAGATATAAAAAATATAAATATTGTTATAAATAAATTGCACATGTTCCGCTTAAGCGTTCTATGCGGTAAGCGAGGTACGTTGGTGTCGAGCGAAATAAAACTGTCTCAAATATTAAGTGTATTATTATCTATGAATTGTCCGCTTCTACACCTTGGATGAGACAGACCTCAACTGAAGCTGGTCGGGACGCGCGGGTTATATGGAACTTCTAATATGGTGGAGGTCACCTACGAAACGGCTTCCCGGCACTCCTGCCCGAACGTCTGATCCCTGCTCGAGGCAGGTAAGAGAGGATACCGCAGTCAATACTTCTCACCACCCTACGATAACCACTGGGTCTCTTAGTCAGCTGGCTATCCACAGCCTACCAAGGTTGCGTCACCTGTGTGCCACGGAATACCTGCTGGGTCAGAGCTGGCATTTTTTGTTATTACCTTCATACTCTGACAACGGGAGCTGTATCGCCTGATCCATTACGGATAACGGTTCGGTGATTCTTGATAGTTCTTACCTAGAATTGGACTATCAGTCGCTTCAGTAACCCAACAATTGTTACTTCCATTTTTAGACTTTTCTACTAATTTTTCTTCATAGGTCCCACTGATTTCTATTACTGTAATAAATATTTCTTGTATTGTAATTGTATAATAATATTAGTTGTAATTGTATTATCAACTTTGTGTCGAGCTTACAGTGTTGACATTAATATTTAAACTTATGAAAATATTTTATTTTGATTTCTTCATTTATGTTTTGGCATTTTGTAAAATCCAACAAAACTATTAAGAATTAAATAAATTTGGTGTTGGTCTCAAATAATGGAAATGAAAACCTGGTGGGTTGTCAGTTAAGTTAGTAGCCTTTTTGTAAAATCAGTGCTAGACAATAAATAGTCTATCTAATCGATTTACTTCCCAGCATTTTTTTATTACACTTTCTTATTTTTAAATTATTGTTAAAAAAATACCGCCAAAATTTAATGAAAATCACTTACAATATTCAACAGGGTCATGATATGACAAGCACCTTAAGTCTGGTAGGTTCAATTGGTTTAAATATGGCAGTAGCAGAGGCACGGAGCCCATATAAGCACACTTTCCTGCAACGACTGCGTATAGCCTGTCCACCATTTGAAGTAGACTGAGTGAAGGTTGGTGCATAGTTATCACCATCGTTCGTCCTTGCCGTGCTAACAGGTGAAGTAAATTGACTAATTTTTTTGCTACCGAAATATCTAGTCCACTGAAACAGAAATAATGTCATAATTGCATTAAAAATATAAATAAATAAAATGAAAATTAGCTGGACGTATTTGAAATATACGTTTTATTGAATTATATAATAGTTTGTAGAAATTTCTTAGAATTTTAATAATGATTTTTCAAATCTTTAGCATAGTAGACACAATCTTTTGAATGTGGTCTAGAAATGTTTATATGAACACAAAAAAATGAAGTGTTTGTTAAGTCGTATTGTTAATTTAAAGAAAAAATGTCCATTGCACAACTATACAAAAAAAATTCGTTCTTTGTTCTAATGTTTATATTAGGTTTTTCCGGTTAATTATTAACAAAAACGAAAATAAAATACGTTATTTTGGTATTAAGTTTGCTTTTGTGATAGTTATAGTAATAATACTCATTTTTCAATTTTTTTATAACTTTTAATTAATTTTAATACTTTAAAAAAAACCGCGCTATGAGAGTGGGGTGTTTACGTTTACACAGTGCCTCTAAATGGCACTCTAGTCATAAACAACGATCAGGTGTTTTGTACAAGCCCAGAAAAACTTAAAATGTCACGAAAGTGTAAATACGATGCTGATGCATTTTGTTTCATATGTGGTAAATTTATTAAAGTTCAAAAGCAAACTTTTTCATGCCATATATATTTTTTTCGTCTAATTACGATCTAAAATATCGAAATTTTATGCTTTGCAATCAAAGTCAAATTTGGTGTTGACCCGTGTTATTACTGTCATTATATTTATTAATAGTTTGAATTTAGTTTACCTTGTTGGTTCATCGAGGAACATAACGGGCGGATCGCTGACTAGTTCCAGACCTATTGTTAGTCTTTTTTTTTGTCCACCTGATAGGTTCCCGGCTTTAGTATTCTCCACTGCGTACAGCCCAAGAGACATTATTATTTGTTCTACCTGAGGAAAAATACACGATTAAAGAAATTCGAATGTTATATGACGAATTTTTATTGACTTGTTTGTATTAAGTTTTCGATTTAATGCTAAATAATAGATACATACGCGTTGTCGTTTTTGACTCGCACTGATATGATTTCCAAGTTTCAGTTCCGCTGCTATCGTAAGTGATTCCTTAATAGTGAGCGTTTCAATAAGTTTATCATCTTGAAATATGTAGCAGGATTTCCGCCGAAACATTCTCTCGTTTCGTATACGACCGTTTTCGTATATGCTCCCACTTGTGGGCTTCCTGAAGAAATGTAAGGAAAATTTTTTTAAACTAAAAAACAAAATGTGTGCAATTCACACGTGGTAGAAGTGAAACCTTCCAAAATTCAAATACAATTATCCTAAACGTCTTAAGTATATGTAAAATTTTGTCATTAGTAAATAATTGTAAGGTAGCGCCCTCTGTGAATTGATATTTTAATTTCACGTATAATCCTAAATTAAAATTCACTACAAGAGCTTTCATACACACGTTAGTATTAAAAAATCTCACAGATGGCGCTGTATTAAATAGTATGTATATTTCTGTCTCATTCTTTGCTGGCTTCATTCTACACATTTTTGTATTTGTGTCTCTTACCTGTCGTTTTTTCCGTTGCATCCGGTTTGAAATCATAACGATTCTAAAGAAGTTTTCACTTCAAAAAGTTTACAAAATAATTGCACTAAATATTTTTAGATTTCTAGATTCGTTAACGAGAGCACTGACCGTCAAACGCGTTTTGTTTATTTATTAATCGTTTATTACGGCCGTATATTAACGGGCGTCTGGTGTAGTGGTAAGTGACATGGTCACTACATAAGGGGGTCGCGGGTTCGAATCCCGCCAAGGGAAGATATTTGTATGATAAATATAAATGTCTTCTCCAGGATAATGGATGTATATTAAATATATGTATGTGTATAATAAAAATCTTACATTTATTTCCGTTATCTGGTACCTGTAACACAATTTCTTTACGAACTTATCACGGGACCAGTTAACGTGGCGTGGTTGTTAGTAAATATTTATTTATTTATTATTTATTACTTAAACCGACTCAGGAATTATCTACTTTCTTAAACTAAAAAGAAAAACTATGTTACTACAAGTCGTCGTGGCCTAAAGGATAAGACGTCCGAATCCCGTGTTCGAATCCCGCCGGCAGGTACCAATTTTTCTAATGAAACGCGTACTTAACTAATGTTCACGATTGACTTCCATTGTGAAGGAATAACATCGTGTAATAAAAACCAAACCCGCAAAATTATAATTTGCGTAATTACTGGTGGTAGGGCCTCTTGTGAGTCCTCACGGGTAGGTACCCGTTGAAAGGTGAAGCAGCCGTTGTAACTATACTGAGACCTTAGAACTCATATCTCAAGGTGGATGGCGGCATTTATGTTGGATGTCTATGGGCTCCGGTAACCACTTAACAAAACAGTTGGGCCGTGAGCTCGTCCGCCTAAGCAATAAAAAAAACAAACTAAAAATAAAGTTTGTCTATTTTGTGAATCTGCAATACAACGCAAAAAAATCTGACTGTTAATCTTTCGAGAGTGTAATTCACGTCATCAGTGATTTTTGTTCGTTTGCATGATATTATGTAAAAAATATATTTAAAAGTGGTGTTAACGGTAGCAGTTATTTTTTCTACTATTTATTTGTCTTTTATTTCAGAACGATTTTATTGTTTTCTCTTAGTAATTTAATAGTTTTCCCATTAGTTCGATCGTTTGTTTGTTCTCTACAAGGTCGTTGAGTTTGGATTTGAATGGTAGCATTAAAGCAGTCTTTCCCAAAGTGGGCGATAACGCCCCTTTGTGGGCGCTGCAGGCCTAATGGGGGGCGGTAAGAGACCCAGAAAAAAATGGGGGCGTTGCGTAGAGGCTTGGGAAGCGATTTTTAATTTCATCTACAAAGAACTCTTAGACACGACTGAGCTCTTGCTATAATGCTTTTAAGTATGTAGAGAAAATTGGGGGCGCTAAAAAAGAATTTATTCTTAAAGTGGGCAGTAGACAAAATAAGTTTGGGAGCCACTGCATTAAAGGAAGTGGTGAGAAAAAAATGGACTCATTTGTGAAAATGTGATGTTTACGGATTCACGTTATGTTGTCTACGAATTATGTTAACAGTTTGATACCAAACGAGTTATGAGTTGTCTATCCATAGTAACAAAACGTTTTAAATCACTAAAATGCCAATGCTGAATTGATACTGATAGAAGATATAATAAAAAAAAATTGGTTCGTAAAATTAGATAAAGTTCATTGATACTTTAATAGCAGATAAGGAATTTCGTAATCATTAATTTAATTTTTCATCAAATATAATTTTTCAAATCATATCATAATTTTTCAATCATTAATTTGGTTTTAGTTCTTTTATTCTAGTAATTCTAGGTTTATCTAGTCAAACCACTCTGTGAAAATAATTGTAAAAGTAAGCCAAGCCCTATATTATTCAACCATTAGGTCGACTGTATCGATTCCAGTAAAATTGTGAGTTCGATCATAATAATAATATGATCGACAGTCGCGATATGGTGACGTGATCAAAGGTTATTAAAGTCAGTTTATTTCTGATTATTTTATTTTTATTTTTTGCGATGATGGTTTTTGTTCAGTGGCAATTGCTTAATAAGATTCTTTATAAACGAAAGTGCATCGAAAAATGTTTATTTATATATTTTTATAGAGACTCCAATTAGCTAAGTAAGATTGATAAAAAAATTATTTATACTTTTTTGCACAGAAATTTGACTTTGACCTTAAAATGAATTTTAGCCTTTAAATTTGTCGCGGGTTGCCATCATAGAATATAATATATTTGACAGATGCCTGAATCTCGCTTACGATATTTTCTACAACAACATTGGGACCGTCGCGTCGCGGCGTCGGTCTACCGAGCAATTACACTAACTCGATGGAAACTCTTCCCTTCGTCGTTATTTTCACAATAATTTTACATTAATCAACTTTTTTTCAGACGAACTTGTCGTCAAGCCATTGATAGTACATGAAACTAATTACATAGGTATCTTGAGTATGTTCAATCTGTCAGACCGGTTCAAGACAAGCAAAGCAAGAAGATTTTATGGGTTTTTTATTACTATAGTTTAGAAGCCATCCTCGTAGTCTATTAATTAATATTTTATTTTAAATATATATATATCTTAATAATATTCTTTATCGAACAGTTGGTTGATGTAACACAGGTGTGTATTTGTTTTATTAATAAGTAATCACAATGTATATCATTATAGTTATTAATATCTATGGAGATTATAAATTATTTTGCAGGTGCAAGGAATATTTCGTGCTTAGCAGAATTTAATTTATCGTTATACTGACGCGCGTTCGCGACTATGTCACATTCGTTTTCAGATTTGAAAGACAATGAAAACAATGTATACTCGTGCAACAAAATGTTATTTCAAACATGAAGCAAAATCAAAATCAAAATTGATGACTGGTTTAACTTGGAACAATATTTCGTTTAGCCATTGCAGAAAAGCGTGCATAAGCAATAGACAAATAAAAGATAGAACATGGCATAGCGCTCGAGGAATACAGTGCAGAGGAGTTCATTTCAAACGGATGGTAGAAAAAAATAATGCCACAAAACACATTGTAGTAATGCAGTATTTCCACTGGTGGTAGGACCACCATCCTATTTCTGCTTGGAAACATTAATGCATTTTGGTTTGAAGGGTCAATGTACAAAGTCAAAAGTTAATACCAAAATTGCTTTGTACGTATAAGGAAATCGCTAAATTAAAATGTGTTCGATTTAAAACACGTTGTAGTGTGATTCAGAACTCAATAACAGACCGCAGACAGCAAATGCAGCACGAGACGGAAAATATATAAATTGGTTTTGTTCGTATTTAAATTTTATACTTTTATGTTACCAATTAATCGATTTCTAATATCGGCAAAACTTTTTTTATTTTTCTACGTGATTTAGCCGTGGGACTTCCGTTTACGCGTTGGGGGCGGTACACATCCCGTAAGAGTCGAGCTGATTAAAAATGTTGTTGCTCAACAAGGTCCGTTTTTTTAAATATTAGTCAACCAGTTTAATATGTGATAAGGTAGATTTCTGAAATTGGTATCTACTTCAATTGTATATGTTTCAAAGGTATTTTAAGTATCTTTTATATGTAAATTGCTTATTCTTATTTATGTGTAAAGAAGCAACATTTTTTTTTTTATAATTGTTATTATATTGTAATACATTGTGTATTAATTGTATGTATATTTACGAATGTATGTATGTATGTGTATATGTATGTGTACATATATGCATATGTATTTCACTGGATTGGTACACCGCGCGTAGTTCGTTTCCAAATGATTCTTGTCCACCTGATGGTTGTCTGGAAGAGATCGCTCTTAGCGATAAGACCGCCATTGTACTTTTTTTTGTTTAATGTATCGCACTGTTTATTTGTTTTGGTGTACAATAAAGAATACTCTCTCTCTCTCTCTCCGTCCGTTGTGAGTCCGCACAGGTAGATAGATACTACCATCCTGCCTATTTCTGCCGTGAAGCAGTAATGCGTTTCGGTTTGAAGGGCGGGGCAGCCATTGCACTGTTACAAGTGAGACCTTAGAACTCATGTCCCAAGGTGGGTGGCGGTATTTACGTTGTAGATATCTATGGGCTCCGGTAACGACTCAAGACCAGGTGGGCCGTGAGCTCGTCCACCCATCTAAGCAATAAAAAAAAAGAACCTCCAATTATAAAGACTGGTGGGTAAAGTGACTTTGAATATGCCGGTCATCGACCCCACCACTACCGGGCCTCTCGGTCCTCGGTGCCTCACTTGATTTACTGTTATTTGCGTTTTTGAGCGGAGAATTTAGACATAGACAACTTGACGGTTGTCTTTAATTGCCCACTGAGTTTCTCGCCGGGTCTTCTCAGTGGGACGCGTTTCCGATCCGGTGGTAGATTCTGCGAAGCACTGCTCTTACTAGGGCCAGTGTTAGCAACACTTCCGGTTTGAGCCCCGTGAGCTCGTCTACTCGCCCGGTTACGCTGACATAGCCTCTGAAGACTATCAGCTTAGGTAGGAAGAAAAAGACTTTAATTAAGTTCAAAGACAAGGAATTTTTAGATTAAAATTAAATAGGATTTGTAAAAAATTGCTTGTCATAGTCGGGCTTTACCATTCAAAAGTTCAAATCTTGCGGTAGGTACCGATTTTTCTAAGGAAATACATATCTGGCACGAGTTCACGATTAGCTTGC